GCACTCACAAAGCCCGGCAAACAAACGCTGTAGTTCAAACGAGCCGTTCGTTGTAGTTCTTGAAAAGGGATTTAAAAAAAACGAAATATCTCCCTTTGGAGTGGACTTTGAGATTTGTAACTTTCTAGATCTTTTTTATGCCCAAACATACACACTACACACTGACTAAAATTTAAAAAGTGAAAAAGCATAATAGGACCCCTTTAAAGCACTGCACGAGCTCACGGCGCCAGGGTTCAAAGTCCAAAGCGCGAAGAAAATCTGCGCTGTGAAAAAGTTTTACTCGTCAGTCGCTCAGTAACATTTTTATGAATTTTTACAAGGCATGTGTGTGACATTGCGATAGGCTATGTGAGACAAACATCTTCCCAAATCCGTATTGAGAATCATTTATAAATCTGCTGTTGTCAACAAAAAGAAGCGCTGAGGTCTTCCTGCGGGTTTCCGCCAAAATAAAAGCAGATAAAAAGCAAGAACTCCATCAACATTCATAAGTTTTATTATTGTAATTTTACAGTTTTGTCAAATAAAATAAAAAAGACAATAATAATGATAAAACTAATTACAACAACTACATTCACATAGTTGTTCAAATTGGAATCCGTAATATTTTCTAATGTTTTAAAAGATTCTCTTCTGCTCAGCAAGGCCGCATTTATTTGTACAGTAAAAAATACATGCCTGATTCAAAAAAATATTATTTTACTAACTTATTAATTTTAACTTAAATTGTGCTTTGTTGGTATAATGTCTGCTAGAATGTTAAAAAATGTTCAGTGTTAAGTAAATATTTGTAAATTGTTTTGTAATTGATTTTTTTTTCTTTGAAAAGCAAGACAAGACAGCAAAAAGCACATTTTGGCTATTTAATTTATGCGATGGTGAAAAAATTGGCAAAATACATGGGGGGAAAAAACGTGAAAAACCATGTTTGGTATTTGGTATTTTGCCTTTTGCCTGCGTTTCATTTTGTTTGGTTTCGACCTCGGCCAAGAATTTTTATTTCGGCGCATCCCTATCAGAAAGTCAAACTACAAATGGCTTACTAATGGTTCTCTCCACATATTATTCATTTATTTTTGTTAACATTGTCACTATAAACTGTTGTACAGAAAGAGCTGCATTAACGTTCCACAGGAAAAAACAACAGTATATACAGTACATTTAGAAATTATAATTTGGGATGAACTACCCTTCTAATTAAATCCACAGTGAAAGTTTTTAAAACAATGCATGTACAATAAGGCTGATTTTACTTTTATATATTTAGAAAATTAGCAGGTGACTGATTGTCACTGCAGTGCAGTACTTGAACTACAGTGCATCTAAACCAAACCATCAAACCTGCATCTACATTTTCATTCCGGAACCTTGATAGCCACTGGTTTCCATTTAAGCGCTACACTTCTGCTATTTACATTCGTCAGAGCAGCAAACAAGTTATAAATATTACAGTGGTACCTAGATATATTTAGAAATTCAGATATAGATACACGCTCAGTTATAAACTCTTGAGAGCTAAAGATTCTGAAATGACTGAAAACAAAAATAAGTTCTGGTACCATGGTAACAGATGGTAAATACAAGATGGTAGTTCTTAAACTGCTGTTCAAAAGTTTGGAGTCCGTAAGATTTTTTTTTTAATGTTTTTAAAGTTGTTTTTTTTTTTTTGAGTCTCCTATACATTTATTGGATCAAAAATACAGTAAAAACAATAATAGTGTGAAATATTAACTTAACTGTTTTCTATTTTCATATATTGTAAAATGTAATTTATTCCTGAGATCAAAGCTGAATTTTCAGCATCATTACTCCAGTCTTCAGTTTCACATGATCCTTCAGAAATCATCCTAATATGCTGATTTACTACTCAAATTATTTTTTTTGATTATTATCAATGTTGAATTGTATTATCAATTATTATTCTTTGATGAATAGAAGTATCGTATGAAGTATGAAGAATAGAAAAAACAAATTAACATTATAAATGTCTTTACTCTCACTTTTAATCAATTTAATGTGTCCTTGCTGAATAAAAGTATTAATTAAGACCCCAAACCTTTGAACGGTAGTGTGTATAGCCTATCGTTTTTCAGTTAATCAGACTTTTGGTTTGCGATATAAAGACTGGTCAACTTATTGCAGCTTATTCTAGCAACTTATTGTATTTTTTATGTAATACCTTGGATCTTATGTAATAATTGCCAGACTACACAAAGCATGCAACGCAGAAAACCTTTGTTGTGAAATAAAACATTGTTGTGCCAAAAGGCCAGACTGGAGACAAAACACATCTGGCTAATATAAGCCCAAACAATCACACAGGACAAACCAAAACCCAAACAAGCGAGTCATTGAATAAATGAACATCAAACAGCCACTTTTTCATTCAAAAGACCTAATGGAGCCCAAACACATCTCACAAACACGATTCCTGCAAAGCTCCTACCTCGTACTTCCTGTAATTCGCCTCTTTCACCTTTTCCACGTCCAGCAGCAGAGCCCAGGCCTGACCGCGCAGCTTCAAGGGAATCCCCTTGTATACCCGCTTCATCATCTGAAAAATGCACATGGGAAGAGGAAACAAACAGATGGCGAGATTTGTTTTTGGGTCTCCAAGTTTCCGGATGTGTGGGCCTAAAAATCACTGTAACACACAGCAGCCTTGAGTGGCATATTATGGGAATACAATGGCAGCAACAGCAATATGATAAGAGACAACAATATTGAGTTACGCAATGTTAATGAAACAAAAATTATACACAATTCTTAAAGGGGTCATATGATGTTGCTAAAAAGAACATTATTTTGTGTATTTGGTGTAATGAAATGTGTTTATGAGGTTTAAGGTTCAAAAAACATTATTTTCCACATGCTGTACATTATTGTTTCTCCTATATGCCCCGCCTTTCTGAAACGCGTCAATTTTTACAAAGCTCATCGGTCTGAAAAAGCGAGGTGAGCTGTGATTGGCCAGCTATCCAATGCGTTGTGATTGGCCGAATACCT